GGTGGAATTGGATAACATTTTGGTTCAATTTTCTAAATTGCTTTTCTCCAATTTCAATTCCAAAGTGCCAATTCCATACCTGCTAAACATAGCTTAAGAAATTTTCATACCAGTTTGTCTTAAGAATAAGTAGCCATCACAAAATTATTAAAACATACAAAGAATACATATGTATGTATTCTAAGGTTAAAAGGTTACCCTTGTTGTAAGGGTAAATCATACATAGATAAATATTTTTTTATTCATGTCTTTGATAAGTAATTGTGGTACGTTTGGTATGTAGGAATGAAATGGAATGTAAGTGAGAATGAAATGAGAATGTGAATAGAATGGAATAGTCATTCTCATTCTATTGTTTGGTTGCAAAAATGAAACATGTAGTAATGAAATGATAATAATAATTCTACTGTTTGGTTGGATTGATTTAAAATTTAGAATGAAATGAATTTCAAGTTGAATTCTCCAAAATACCCTTCTTAGTGACAAATAAATTAATTAACAAAACAACATTCTTCTATAATTTTTTAAAAAGAAATAACGACGGTGGGAGAAGGCAGCAGCGGTGGTGATTGTGAAAGGCGACAACGGTGTTGGTAGAAGGCGGTGGCAATGGTGGTGGTGGAAGTAACGGTGGAAAGCGTTAGTGGTGCAGATGATGATGGTGGAAGACAATGGCGGCAATGGTGTAAGTGGTGGTGGTGGTGGAGGGTGGCAGTGGTAGAAGGAAGTGGAGGTGAAAATGGTAGTGTTGGTGGAAGCACTGGAGATGGGTGTAATATCCCTAATTTTAAAAAGGATATTCCTGGTATTTAATGGTATTTAATTTATTATGTAAGTGCATTTTATTTGATTATGTGTCATTATTTTTTTATTAGGTGCTTAATTGTTTTTTTTTGTGGTGATTTAATTTATTTAAATGATATTATTTTTAGTTATTTGATTAGAATTACTTGTTAGTGTTTTAATTATTTAATTGGCATTAATGGTTTAAGTGTAATTGGTTTAGTTATTTGATTGGAATTACTTGTTAGTGTTTTAATTATTTAATTGGCATTAATGGTTTAAGTGTAATTGGTTTAATTATTCTATGTGTGTCTTATTTTATGTGTGTCTTATTTGGTTTAATTGGGTTTATTAATTATTATTTTGTTCAATTAGATTATTTGTTAAGTATTTAATGGTGAATAGGGTAATTAGGTAAATATATCTAACTAGGGTTTTAATTACAGTATAAATTAGGGTTTTATATTATAGCCGTCGTAGGTTTCTACGTTAATTGGATGGGCCGGTTAGGATTGTGAGTTAGACTTAAATGAACCTAGGGTTTAGGAAAACTCTATAAGTATAAGGTAGACGTCTGTGTAAGGTTTTTTTTAAACAAAGCACACGTTTTGTGGAAGTGGAGAAGGAAAAACGCAGTTTTTCACATTCTGCCAAGGTTTGATCAAAGCTCCGATCCCGCTTCTTCCGTGGTCCGATTGAGCTAAATTTTGGAAGAGAGGTTCACGACTCAGTGACGCACAATCTGAACGGTGGCGATCAGAGTTTTACCTCGGGAACAGTGATTCGTACTCGTGAACAGTAACTGGGTCGTATAGGTTTTTTCCATTCTGCCTAGATTTCATCAAACATCCGATCCCGCTTCGTCCGTGGTCCGATCGAGCTAAAATTTGGAGGATAGGTTCATGACTCAGTGTCGCACAATCTGAACGGTGGAGATCAGTTTTTGAGTTCGGGAATAGTGTTTCGTACCCATGAACAGTAACCGGGTTTTGGAACTCGCCGGGATTTTTTAAGAAGACGACGTTGAAACTTTGAACAAAAGTTTCTGAGGCAAGATTCTATCCTTACTCTTTCCCTTAGGCTTCATACTCTTTGCACTCTTAAATGATTCCAGGATTAATGAAGATTAAACCAAACTAAAATGATATCTGTTTTGCTATGAAACTGATAGTTACAGTGGTGTTGTATGCTTGTTCAACCTAGACTAAGCATGTTTGTGGATGCATTGTGGTTCTGTGGTTCACGTTTTTCCTTACCACTGCTAGTATAAATTATTGGAAGGATGGGTCTAGATGATAGCTATCTTAACTTCTGTAATAGCAACTGTTGGAACTTAAATACTAGGAGGATTTAAGTTTAACACTAGATCGGTTTTGTGGAACACTATAATTTGAGCATGTCTATATAAATACTGTGAATATTGTTTTGATGCTTACATTATCACAGTTAGTATCAACTGTGGAGGTTAGGATTTTGTGATATATACCCTACATATTTGTATGTCATTTGTAAGGTGTTAAATGGAAGTTTTAATTAATTCTGTCTTTATATCAAACTAAAGGGAACAACTTAAATTGGGCATGTATATGTTGTTGTTGTGACCCTGTTTATCAATGCTTATTTTATCACTGCTAACATTGAATGTTGGATGTTGGAATTTAGTTGATATATACTTGATTTATTGGTATTATTGACTACTGGAGGATTGGAAAGTAGGCACCAGTATGGGACGGTAGCATACTAAGGATGGGTTTGGTTTTTAAATCAATACCATTACCCACCTACTTGGAATAAGAATGGGATTAACTAAAAGTTAAGTCCCGTGGATTTGTATTGTCATGGCAACTACTTGTTGATCGGCAATACCAGGGATTTTGGATGGATTTTATATATGTACTGTTATGGTGCCTCGGTATGAGCTTGAGCCTCAGGATCGATGGCTAGGGAGCGTATATGCATCGGGATGTGTAGCTGGCTACGATGGTTGGAGGTGTACCCTGTTTAGGTATAGGTACATATGCCCACTTCGTGTGCGTTTTAGCATGTTACCTCTATTCAGGTTGAGACCGGCCTGTAGTCCAGTGAGAGTCCTTTAGTGTGACTATATATATATTTACGGACTATTAGCTATTGTCGAATTGTTTAGGATGTACATGCGTATCAGGCTTCTGTTTGGATTGTAGTAGTCTAGAACTTGCGCTTGGGCCTGACCCACTTCTATTTTCAAGTACACGACAGTTCCAGGCTTAGACGTGTTCGTGCTGAGCAGAGGTCTCTATTCACTCTTCCGACGATGTAGGGCTCTCTCTATAGTTTTATTTCTGGACGTTTATTACATTTGTTCTATCTTCCGTTTGGATGTTTAATAGGGGTCCACTAGAGATGGATTCCCAAGTTGTAAACTGATGGAGTTTTGGAGTTTGGGTTTGATGGATTTTAATAATTATAATATTTTGCGGATTCTATTTTTAGTTACTTCCAGCTTTAATTTCATTTCTTAATATATTTTGTATTCCGTGTTCATTATAAAATATTAATTGTTTGATATTCCCTCGAGTTTGGGCCTGGGCCTGATCAACCCGTGTCTCGGATCCGAGGGGTATCTCAATGGGGTGGTGGAAGTAAGTGGTGGCAAAAGGCGGTGGCGGCGGCGGTGGTGATTGAGGTGGAATCGGCGATATGGTGGTGGTGGATGGCAGTGACAGTGGTGGAGGTGACGATGGTGGTGGTGGAAGGCATTGGTGGCGATGGAAGTCGGTGGCAGTGGTGGGGGATGTGGTGGCGGCGGTCGCAGAAGGTAGTGAAGGCGGCAGTGATGTGGTGGTGGTGGAAGGCGACGACAGTAGTGGTGGTGGAATGTGGTGGTAGTGATGGGGGCGGAAGTGGTGGTGGTAATGGTGACAGTTGTGGAAGGCAATGAAAGTAGTGGTGGTCGAAGGTAGTAGTGGTGGAAGGGGGTGGCAGTGGTGGAAGTCAGTGGTGGTGGTGGCGGCGATGGAGGTGGCAGTGATGAAGGTAATAAATGTGGCAGTTGTTGTGGTGAAAGGTGGTGGTGGTGGTGGTGGTGGTGGAAGGCAATGGTGGTGGTGGTGATGTTATTGGACTTTGAATATAAAGGTTTTTTGGGAATTTGATTTTTTTAAAAAAATTTATTTGGAAATGTAATGGTTATTCTATAGGTTTAGTTGTAGAATGGATTTTCATTCCTAGAAATGAATTTTTATTCCAATGGAATGACCATTCACACTTTAAATTATATACCAAACAAAATAAGGATTGGAATGGGAATTCCATTTCATTTCATTCTGGTACACTAAACGCAACATTAAAGTAACATTATGGTAGATAACTCCAAAATTTTAAAAATTTGAATTTTAGGTGTTGAAATTTTGAATGAATTAGTGAATTCTTATTTATATAAAATTTTACTTTATTTTGAGTGATACGTTTGAACAATTAAAAAATATTTAATTAATAAATGCTTAATGTATGCAAAACTAAGTATTGAGTCGAATTATCAAATATTATACAAAGGTTGTGTTTGGTGGCATGGAATTAAAGTCTTGAAATTGAATTGGAGGAATTGGAATTGGTAGAATTGATTCAATTTGCTAAGTTGTGTTTTTTTTTTTCAATTCCAATTCCAAAGTTTCAAAGTTTCAATTCCAATTTCAAAATTTCAATTCCATAAGTGCCAAACATTGCGAAAGCAATTATATTGCCTCTCTCATGCTACAATGGTCATAAGTAATGTCATGTTAGATAACTCTTAAATTTTTAAAAATTAAATTTTGAGTGCTAAAATTTTAAATGGATAAATGAATTCTTATTTACTTAAAATTTTACTTCATTGCGAGTGACACTTTTGCACTATACGAAGTCAGTTTATATTGGACATACCTTTGTTTTCATTCTTAGATTTGCCAGGTTTTTATTTTAAATTTTACATAGTTTAGAGATTCCATAAACATGATGAAAAATTCAAACAAATGTACACTCTTACACAAATTTCATATATAATCTCATATCTCCATATTTAAACATTTTTCATTATTCTCATTTTATTTCATCCAAAACTTTATCCCATTTCATTGCCTACATTTACAGCATTACCCCTGCTTTCATGACATAGATAGGATATATTACCATATGACAAGGCCATATTAGTCATTACAGAAGAAAAGCCCTTCTTCAACTGTACAACGAAAATCCAAGTTTGGGACTTGGGCCCAAATCGGGGGTTTGTTTCTAACATTTTCGGATTTGGGAAATTAGGGCTTTGGAATAGGGTGAGAACCGGAGAAAAAGGGGTTGTGATTAGCCACTGAGAGCCTTTCTTCAAACCAATCATCACCTTCGTCGATCATATTTTCCACCAGAGAATTAACTTGTCACCACTCTCTCTCTCTATTTATACGTGTGTGTATACACATTTTCTCTCCTGAATCGTCACCAGCATCAAGAAAACCGACAATCATCTTCAGTGTTCGATCTCAACAAAGTGCCTGAGTTCAGAACCATCCATTACAAGTCGTGAGGTAATTCTATGTTTCGTGCTATATTTTCTGTATAGAACCAGAATCAGACGGTGTACGAGTTGAGTTGGGAGGTCTTGAATCTTGATTGGTTAAGACCGAACTCGATCACTGACCCAATTTTCAGAACTCGGTTGAGTTCACTCAGTGACACTGAAATTCTAGTTATGTTGAAAATTCACTTGCTTTGTTATTTTCTGTTGCAGTAAATGTACACTAATCTAATTGGAGGTTGCATTTAGTGGTTATGTGTTATAAGTACACCCTTTTTGAAGCATTTGTGAGACAAAGACGAAGATGGCATGATTGGGAGCTTTTAGATAACAATTGGAAACTGTTTGTTTGGTAGATTTATGGCTGATCAACACATTTTAACTGTACCCAATTCGTCTATTGGTTTGACTGATCAACAAATTATAACTGTACCCGATTCGTCGCTTGAATTGGCTGATTATTCTTTAGTTATCGGGCAAGAATTTCCGGATGTTGAGACTTGCAGAAGAAGCCTAAAAGATATAGCCATAGCATTGCATTTCGATCTTCGGATAGTGAAATCTGATCGCAGCCGGTTTATAGCCAAATGCTCGAAGGAGGGTTGTCCATGGCGTGTTCATGTTGCAAAATGTCCGGGAGTTCCAACCTTTTCGGTTAGAACCCTGCATGGAGAGCATACCTGTGAAGGAGTTCACAACCTCCATCATCAGCAGGCATCGGTAGGTTGGGTTGCTAGGTCTGTGGAGGCACGAATTCGGGATAATCCACAATATAAACCGAAAGAAATCTTGCAAGATATTCGCGATCAGCATGGGGTTGCTGTGTCTTATATGCAAGCTTGGCGTGGGAAGGAACGCAGCATGGCAGCACTACATGGCACTTATGAAGAAGGTTATCGCCTTCTTCCTGGGTACTGTGAACAAATAAGGAAAACTAACCCCGGAAGTATTGCATCGGTTTTTGCCACTGGACAAGACAATTGTTTCCAGCGCCTCTTTGTTTCTTTCCGTGCATCGATCTATGGGTTTATACACGCTTGCAGGCCACTTTTGGAACTAGACAGGGCACATCTGAAAGGAAAGTATTTGGGTACATTATTTTGTGCTGCAGCTATTGACGCTGATGATGCATTGTTTCCATTGGCAATTGCAATTGTTGATGTTGAAAGTGATGAAAATTGGATGTGGTTCATGTCTGAACTGCGGAAACTTCTTGGAGTAAATACTGATAACATGCCAAGACTTACAATACTATCTGAGAGACAAAAAGGAATTGTGGAGGCAGTTGAGACACATTTTCCAAGTGCGTTTCATGGTTTTTGCTTGCGTTATGTAAGTGAGAATTTTCGTGATACGTTTAAGAACTCAAAGTTGGTGAATATCTTTTGGAATGCTGTTTATGCGCTTACAACGGTTGAATTCGATAGCAAGATCACGGAGATGGTCGAGATTTCACAAGACATTATACCATGGTTTCAACAATTTCCCCCCCAGCTATGGGCTGTAGCTTATTTTGAAGGGGTACGATATGGCCATTTCACATTGGGGGTTACAGAACTGTTGTACAACTGGGCTCTGGAATGTCATGAGCTCCCTATTGTACAAATGATGGAGCATATTCGCCATCAGTTGTCATCTTGGTTCAGTGATAGGCGTAACATGGGCATGAGGTGGACCTCAATTCTTGTACCATCTGCTGAGAAGAGGATTTCAGAAGCAATTTCTGATGCTCGTTGCTATCAAGTACTTCGGGCAAACGAAGTTGAATTTGAGATTGTGTCTACCGAGCGGACAAACATTGTGGACATTAGAAGTCGAGTATGTTCTTGTCGCCGTTGGCAACTCTATGGTATGCCATGTGCACATGCTGCTGCTGCACTGATCTCTTGCGGGCAGAATGCCCATTTATTTGCCGAACATTGCTTCACAGTAGATAGCTATCGTGAGACCTATTCACAGGTGATATATTCAATCTCAGATAAAAGCCTATGGAAGGAGCCTGGTGAGGGAGCAGAGGGTGGAGGTGCCAAGGTTGATATTACAATACGACCACCCAAGACTCGTCGGCCTCCTGGCAGGCCCAAAAAGAAGGTTCTTCGGGTAGAGAGTCTAAAGCGTCCAAAGAGAGTTGTTCAATGCGGTCGCTGCCATATGTTAGGGCATTCACAAAAAAAATGCACAATGCCAGTTTGATCTAAAAAAAATGCACAATGCCAGTTTGATCCTTATTTGGTTGTTTACTGTTATAGCATTAACTGTGTTAAGAAAATTTGTTTTATTTACTTTTTCCGTAATTTTCATAGAATTAATCGTGTGTCTGTAAGCTTGGTGTATGTCCTTAACTGTTCCATTGCAAAATAAATCCTTGACCTTTTGTGGCAATAGTTTGATATGTCTACCTTCTATACATTATAGCAGCATGTGGTGTTTTTTGTGCTCTGTTTCCAGTCATATACTTCCTTTCTTTGCATTTATTTTCAATACTTTGTTTTATACCGTGCATGCATGTTGTCTGAGGTATGCCATGTTCTTATCATATATGCATGTTGTCATAGATATGTGAAATTTTGTTAGGATTATTCCTAGAATTCTTTGATCTTTATTGAGAGAGCCGTTGTTGGGGCCCTTCAAAAATCTTCCTGACTGTTAATGCCAGAAGAATATGGATGCTTTCTGGGCTTCTATGAAAGAGCATAAGTTAATGTCAGATGTCATGGGAGAAGAACTCTATAGAGCAATGACAGAGGCCAGGTTTTTGACTTGTTCTGATATTTTTGTTTTAACTTGTTTTGCATGCCAGTCCTCTTCATCATCTTCATACCATTTCGTATTTTTGTAATTTTATAACTTTCAGACAGATTCAATGAGCTTGCGCATGCGGGATGCGAGTATTGCTTGGATACTGTTGCAGGCTACTAATTCATTGTAATTTATTAATAAAATTGATAGAAGTCTATACATGTCGGTGCTCTGTAAGTTAGTCCCTACACTCCTTGTGGTGGTATTTGTACGAAAGGTTTTGGTTTATGATAATCATAAACATATTCCATTCACCCTGGTGGAATATGGTTGATGATCTGAATTTTGGAAGGAATAAAACATTTACTCGTAATGAGACTAGTCATTCATTTTACCACTTAGTTTGATTGCATGTCCTGCTTGTATGGATCACTTGATCGTTGAACTGAAAGCTGAATTACATTTTCAGGTGGCAAAACATTAGGAAGGAGAATTCATGTTATTTGTAAGTTAATTTGGACTCCTTTCTAGTCATCACTTGGAAGCTTGACCTACTGGCTAGTTCACGAACTTAAGTTAGGTGATATAGGGTGCGCTGCTGTCCCTTTTATGTTATCCTTTTCCTCATGTTCTCCGATGGAGTGGTGTGTTAGAATCCATCGAATGTGAATCTATGAATTCATGTTCCACTTTTTGGTTATCATAGCATAACACTTGTAAATGTTTTCTAAAGAAGAAATGCTGTTTCACTTCTCCTTTTTTATTTCTTTTCCTTGTTAAAAGGATGACATCTTTATCTTTTTCATTTTTTCCGGAAATTGATAAGGACAGCATCATATCTGAGAGATAATTTTACTATCATTAAGACAATAATTTTTTTGCTTTTTTATATAACTTATTTTCTTCTATAGGATATTCTTGTTATTTTGCCTTAAATTTCAAGTGAAATAGGATGATATCATATCTGAGAGATACTTTACTATTAACACAATATTGTTTTCTTTTTTAATATAACTTATTTTTTTCCCTAAGGTAGTCTTGTTATTTTGCCTTAAATTTAAAGTGAAATAGGATGATATCATATCTGAGATACTTTTACTATTAACACAATATATATATATATATATATATATATATATATATATATATATATATATATATATATATATTTTATATCTTATTTTCTTCCCTTGGGTAGTCTTGTTATTTTGCCTTAAATTTCAAGTGAACACTTATACTATTCACCAATCTAAGAATTAGGTGCCTATGTAATTACCATGAAATTAAGGAGAGGTAATATGAGGTAAGATCCTTTTTTTTATTTTTTTTTAATTTTTGAATTTAATCTTTTTTTATCTTATGTAATTTGTATGCTTCCTAAAATAATACTCTTGTTATTTTGCCTCAGAATTGAGGTTAATGACGATTTCAAGAATCTAAGAGTTAGGTGCCTATGTAATTACCAGGAAATAAAGGCGAGGTGAGATCCCTTTCTATTAATTTAATTTTTTTTTTTTTATCTCATGTAAATTGTAGTCTTCCTAAAATACTTTTATTGTTTTGCCTCAAAACAGAGGTAGATGATGATTTCAAATAAGACATATCATGTTAATCATCCACCACTTCCACTGTTCACCAAATATCTCTCTGAGTTCGGTGTTCACAAATTTATCAGAAAGTTAAGGAGATGTAAAGTGAAGTATGGTGCACGTTTAGCATGGGTCTGTCTTTCTGGTTATAGAAATAGAAGTATCACAAATAGATAATAAATATCCTTGGAGCAGACTAGGATGAAAACTGGTGCAGTTTTAGGAAAGTGAGAGTGGCAGTTTTGTTGAAAATCTAGGCAAATCCGAGGTTGAAATGGTCCCCTTTCCCTTCCAAAATTACTTAAATGAGGAAGGGAGTCATCCCCTACCTGTTGGAGTACATGAGTGCGGAGGACTTCTGCTAGTTAGCATATGTGCTTGAGCAATGTGGATAAATGGAGATGCCAAGGAACTATCTAAGAATATGCAAAGTGTGCTTCATGTACAAAAACCTAGGATCCCATTGTAGCTTGTAACGTAGCCGTGAATGTAATCCCTCAACATGGCCTAGCACCAAGTTCAAGAGGTCCTTGAGTCTTGCTTCTAACCCAGGAAAGCTTAAAGTGGATCATGTGCATCTGAGAACATGTACTGGATGAGGCTTCAATGGAGGTGAGGTAACAAAGTGAGGTGGTGAAGATTGAATTGGAGAACACATCTAAAGGAGATATGAGTTAGAGATTGTGCAGCAATAGATAGTGCTCAAGCCAAAGTTGGTTCCAATGTGGAAAAATCGTGCTTTCGCTTTGCGGGTTGAGGTCCGTGGTAATGGGATTGCATAAAGGGATCAAAGCAAGTCATTTAAGATATAGTGGGAAAAATTGATGCGTTGTGCGCCATAATTTTAGAGGACCATGCGTGAGTCAGGGAATGGTGAACCTCATTGATGGGAGAGGTGACACACAATGACACTACATGAAAATACGGATATAGGGGCTAAATTTTTAGTGGCGGCCAAAAATAAGCCACCACCTAAAACACACGATTTCACTCTCTCTCAACAGCCCATTTCTCTCTCTCTCTCTCTCTCACACACACACACACACACACACTCTGATGTGGACCTTGAAAATGCAGAGCTATGCATTTACCTTCGATTTCGCTTCCAAAACCTCCAAGGCCTCTAAATCCTAGCTCTCCATGTAGATTCAATCTTTTGTCTGTGTCATTGCCCTCGAGATCAATTGCTTTCACCTCCGTCAATGGCATCCCTATGTCGTCATTGTCTCGGCGATTGCCTTTAATCTGTTGTTCTTCGTCGTCGTTGGGATTGAATGGCTGGATTTCGGCTCTGCTCTGTTCGAGCTCTGGTACCTTTTCAACATTTACTTCAATATCTACAACAAACAGGTTTGTGATTTTCTGGGTCTAAAGCTTTTTCTTCATTTTATACCTGTAACTATTCATTTTTGTTGTATGAAATCTGATGTATTGTCCATTACGTGTTCTTAATTTGCTGTTATCTGGCTAGAAATGTGCGCGCGCCTTTCTCTCTCCCTCTCCCTCTATATATATGTATATATTCATTTTATTTTTTATAGTTTTTGTATACAAACGCACATCAAGTAAGTATACATTTGTTAGAAGTTTTATGGAATGTTGTTTTTCATGATAGTTGAATAACCTAGCAATGAGGCTGATTTGGTTAAATTTACAGGATCTGTTTTTACTATTGATTTTTAGGAATTATATATATATTTTTTAAGATTTACATGTTAGAGTGTGTTGAAAATTTCCACTTAGTGAAATTTATGGAGTTTTAAAAATTCAAAGTTTTTACTAGGTAGAAAAATGAATTTTAGTGTTTCAATGAAAGGTAGTTGGAACTGTTAATTAATCTTTATTTCTAGCAACTTCAGCTACTGGATACTGGAAGGTGAAACAAAAGATTATCAACATAGAAGAAGAATGTGAACATAAATTGTAATCAAGTACTCGTGTCTCCAAGTCAGCCTCATGCTGAGGGTTTCTCTAGCAGGAAATATCAGACAAATAGGACATCATATGGTGGATAGTCTACAGTAAACATCAATGAGGGGAATGAAATGAACAAAAATGATATAATTTATTTTCACATGCTTGCCTCTTTTATTGGACGCTCCAGTAATCTAGTTTGTCTTTTTTCATGAGTTCGTAGTGAGTAGTTTTGCATGCAGTTAGTGTTAAAAAAATGATCTGGGTAAACTAATTTTATAGTTCTTTGTTTTAGAAAGAACTCAAAGAAGGTTTCTTTTTATTCTTTTATTCATTTTTTAATTATTTTATTTTCTTTTCAATAGACAGTTGTTTCCCAAAAATATGGCATGTTTTTCCTGGTCAAATCTCTAATAAACAAGCTGATAAACATTTCTTTCTAGTCGCTGAGAGAGGCCCTAGAGGTGGCACGATTTTCTTCAAGAAGGATCCTGTTCTGGGTGTTGACTCAGTGCAGTGAGTTTTACACCGGAATGTAATTGACAAGGGAATGTGTTCCTCGACACAATTGAAGGAGGAAAAATACAGGGCTTCTCAATCAAGAGGTACTGTTTTTGTCTAAAATTCATTTTGTTTTGGGGTCAGAATTTGAGTTCAATTTCTTGATATCATTCGTAGCTATTTATTGGGTACATTTTGAATGGAAATTTTTGAATGTAACTAAAAAATGCAGATGAACACATGATCCAATTTCAAACTTATTTTCTGCAATTTTTGAATGTAACTCAAAAATGCAGATGAATATAATTTTGTGATTAAATTTGTTAGTCACGCTTCAGTCAGTTAATCTAAGATTGTCGTTGGCGATTAGTTTTTTTTTTTTTTTAATTGTATAAATATGTTACCTGCTACTTTAACATAGAAATTTACTTTCAAATTTTACTCTGAAAGTGAAAACTTGTTTGTATGGAGCTTTCATCCCTCAGCCAAATAGTTGTTTAGTGATCGACTCCACTGATTCTGAGGCAGAGGGTGGTTTGGGCTGATAGCATTGCACTGATTCTGGAGTTGTTTCTGTAAATAGTGACAATAATTATGCCTTACAATTAGGGATTATATTAGCTAGCATTGACTTACCCTAAATAATTTTGCTGTAATTATGGGATAGATTAGTTGACTTACCTTTTAGATAGCTGCTGTAATTACTACTCCTTGATTGTAGCCACTTTCTTTGGCAAATCTTGTATTATAAATTGTAATGAGAACCAAAGGGAACGTATCACTTCCACATCCGAAAAATCTGTTGTGGCTCTGTTTTATCTTCTTTACATGGTATCAGAGCAAGTTTAGTCAAAGAATTGTATTTTCATTTACACTTTGGTTTAGAAATCTGTTATATTTTCTGTTTGATCTGGTTCAACTCTTCATTCTTTGTTGCACTCTGGTTTAGATATTTGTTCAAATCTCTGTCCAAGATCTGTACTTTTCATTCTTTGATTACACTCTGGTTTCAATAGTTGTTCAATTCTGTGTCCGAATCTGGTTGACATCATCATCAACCTCTTAATAAACTCTGCTATCTTTGCTGATTGGTCTCCTTGCTTTATTTTGACTAACAACTCTATTGAAATCTATTTAAATTCCTGTGTCTCTTTGCATCTCTGATCAACTGCTGCTATGGATAAAAGTGACATCATTCATGTTCGCCTTAGTGGAGGTGTCAACTATGTGGGGTGGTCTTTCCATCTCAAGCACTTTGTCCAAGGACAAGGATTGGTTGAATTTTTAGATGGAACAACAGCTGAACCCATTGATGAAAAACCTAGAGTCACATGGGTCCAAAACAATTCAAAGGTGGTTACTTGGATCTTGAATTCCGTTGATCCTTCAATCACCTTGTCCCTTCAGTCCTTTAGTAAAGCCTCAAGAAACATCTGAAGAAAGTCTATCACCAGACTAACAAATCAAGAAAGTACTACATTGGCATGGAATTGGCTAAATACAGTCAAGGCGATAAGACTGTACAAGAATACTACGACGACTTCCTTGCACTCTAGCATGAGAAGGATTCTATGATCCTGGATGGTGTTGACGCTGCTGCACATTCACAAGTTCTGAAATTGCAAGAGGAGTCCCATGTTAATCAATTCTTGATGACACTACGCCTAGAATTTGAGTCTATTCGGGCTGCTTTGATGAATAGGGAAGCTGCTTTGATGAATAGGGAAACTGCTCCAGATTTAGATACATGTTTCCAAGAGGTTTTGAGAGAGAAACTTTGCCTTCAGTCGTAGCATGTCATCATAGAATATTCAAAATCCTTTCATGCAACGGCTTCAAGCGAGACAGCTCTTCTTTCTACAAATATTTGACCTGTACAATGCCTTGAATGTAAGCAATCTGGCCACATTGCTTGCTATTGCAAAAAGAAGAGCTTCTGCAATTACTGCAAGAAATCTGGGCATATCATCTCTGAGTGTCGAAGACTTCTATTAAGGAAAACTGAAGTTTCAGAACAACTTCAAAATCCATCTGCATTCCATGCCCAAGTTGATCCTGCCACTGCAAATGAGGCTTCCTTGCAGGCCATTCTTCTCACACTAGATCAGATTCGACAGATGATTAATGCTTCTGTTGGATCTGCATTTACCTCCATGGGTATTAATGGTCGGTACAACTCAACCTTCTCGTCTACATTCACTTCTCCCTCCTCTTGGGTTATTGACTCGGGGGCGTCTAACCATATGATTTCTGTAGAGCATAGCCTTGCTAAATCTAAACCTTATACTGGAACTGAAATATTCAAATTGCAAATGGCCAAAATATGCCTATTTCTAGTGTTGGTTCTATCACCCTCTCTACTCCCCAAAACCAACTTGTTAACCTGTCTAGTGTTTACTTTGTTCCTAATTTATCTGCTAATTTGTTATCTGTGGGACAATTGGTTGATAATGGTTATACAGTTCAGTTTACATCTTCTGGTTGTGTGATACAGGACCGGCAAATGGGGAAAGTGATCGGGACAGGGAGTAGACGTGGGAGAACATTTTTGTTGGATGTGGGACTTGGAGCATTGCTTGCATCTTCTATTGGTTCTCAGAATAATTTGTGGACTGGTTGGCATCGTCGCCTTGGTAATTTGAATAATGATAAACTTTATTTTTTTTTAAGCGTGGTTATTTGAATTGTCCTTTGAATACCAAGAAGTTTACCTCCTTGTTACATTCGAAATGTATGTCCTGTTGTTTAAGTAAAAGCTACGTTTTACCATTTCCGGTTCATTCCTCCCGACATACTGATCTTTTTGATATTATTCACACAGATGTTTGGGGAATAGCACCCAAATTCAGTAGGCTTGGTTATAAATACTACGTCAAATTTATTGATGATCATTCACGGTTTACTTGAATTTATTTTCTTCCTCATAAATATGAGGTTGTGTCTAAATTCAAAACATTTAGTAATCTTGTGGAGACTCAATTCAACAGAAAAATCAAGGCCCCCCAGTCTGACCCAGGTGGGGAATACCTTCCAAAAGAGTTTTCTTCCCTCTTCTCTGATAAAGGGATCCTTCCCCAGAAAAGTTGCCCGCACACTTCTCAGAAAAATGGGATTGCCGAACGCAAACATCAGCATATTTTGGAGACAACCAGGGCATTACTTTTTGAATCAGCAATTCCTTCCATTTTTTGGTGTGAGGCTCACAGTTGTGCATTTGATTAATAGACTGCCCACCCTGTGCTTGAGAATATTTCCCCATATGAATCTTTATTTCAATCCCCTCCTTCATACACACACTTTCGTACATTTGGATGACTTTGTTTTGTTCATCTTCCTTCCTTGGAAGAAACAAATTGTCCCAGCAAGCAGCTAAGTGCGTGTTCATTGGCTACAGTGATGAACATAAGGGTTTTTTATGCTATGATCCGGAGGCTCGATGAACACGTATATCCCACAATGTTGTCGTCCTTGAGCATATTCCTTTTTATTCTCTTCAAAAGGAGTCTCATATATCAAATGTTTCTTATCTTCCTAGTTTTTCTAGCTCTACTTTAAATTCTACTAAGAAATTGTAGGTTTATAGTCGAAGGTTGCTGCCTCCTCCTACATCTGCTCCTACTCCTGATCACTCATCCGTGTCACCCCCACCTCCAAGTAACATCACTCCTGAACTCTCCGCACCTCCCCGTTGTTCTTCTCGTGTTTGTAAACCTCCAGACCGCTTTGGATTTTCTGCTCTCCTTCCCACTGTAGATTCTATTTCTGTTCCTTCTTCTTATTCACAGGCCAAAGAACTACCATGTTGGCAAGATGCTATGACAGAGGAGTTAATTGCTCTTGAATCAAATCACACTTGGGATTTAGTTCCTCGACCTTCTGGAGTTCAAGTAATTGGAAGTAAATGGATTTACTCTCTCTAGTTGAAACCTGATGGTAGTTTGGAACGATACAAGGCTCGCCTTGTTGCTCAGGGGTATAAGCAAGAGTATGGTATTGATTATGAAGAAACATTTGCTCCAGTTGCCAAGATGCCCACTGTTCGAACTCTACTAGCTGTTGCTACCATTCGAGGATGGCCTCTTTGGAAAATATATGTTAATAATGCATTTTTGCATGGGAATCTTCGGGAAACAGTTTTTATGAAACCACCACCAGGATATGTCTGTCCTCCCAACCATGTCTGCCACTTGCACAAATCCCTTTATGGTCTTAAGCAAGCTCCTCGTGCATGGTTTGAAATATTTCCCAGTGCCATCATCCAAGCTGGCTTTCACCAAAGTCCTAATGATAACTCCTTGTTTGTTAAGCGCACAACTCGAGGTTCTACATGTTTATTGTTATATGTTGATGATATGATCATTACAGGAAATGATGTATCAGGAATTACTTCTCTGAAGACCTACTTAATGCGATCCTTTAAAATGAAGGATTTGGGACCTCTCACATACTTCCTCGGATTGGAAATTTCTCGTTCCAAAGCTGGTGTTAGCATTCGACAAAAGAAATATGCAGAAGACGTGTTATCATTGGCTCATCTAACAGATTCAAAACTCTGTGATACACCATTGGAATTGAAAGCTAAGCTACGGAAAGATGATGGATCGCCTCTTCCTGATCCTACTATGCACCGTCGTCTTGTAGGAAGCTTGATCTATCTCACTATGACTCGTCCAGATGTATCTCATGCAGTTCAAATTGTCAGTCAATTTGTCAGTAATCCTCATAAGCCCCATCTTGCTGCAGTTCATCGTATTCTTTGTTATATCCAGGGAACTATGGATCGAGGGCTCTTCTACTCTTCAACCTCTTCCTTGGAACTTCGCTGTTATGCTGATGCTGATTGGGCTGGCTGTCAAGATACACGACGATCTACTACAGGTTGGTGTATGTTTTTAGGGTCATCACTCATCTCTTGGAAGTGCAACAAGCAGCCAACAGTTTCAAAATCATCTGCCGAGGTTGAAAACAGGTCTATGTCATCTGCTAGCAGCGAGGTGATATGGCTTCGTAGATTTCTTCTATAACTTGGAATTCCAATTCTTGGTCCTACTCTCCTCTATGTTGACAAAACTAGTGCTATACATATTGCTCATAATCCCGTGTTTCATGAAAGGACCAAGCAGGTAGAAGTTGACTGTCATTTTATTCGACACCATGTTCTCACAGGTTCTATACAGATCTGTCATGTTTCGTCTGAGAACCAGCTTGCAGATTCATTCACAAAAGCCTTAGCTTGTCCACGTCATGAATCTCTAACGACCAACTTGATGCTTGATCAGAATCCGCATCAATTTGCCGGGGGGTGGGTGAGGGTGTAAATAGTGACAATAATTATGCCTTACAATTAGGGATTATATTAGCTAGCATTGACTTACCCTAAATAAAGTTGATATAATTATGGGATAAGATTAGTTGACTTACCTTTTAGATAGCTGCTGTAATTACTACTCCTTGAGTGTAGCCACTTTGTTTGGCAAATCTTGTATTATAAATTGTAATGAGAACCAAAGGGAATTTATCACTTCCACATCCGAAAAATCTGTTGTGGCTCTGTTTTATCTTCTTTACAGTTTCCTTGTGTATCTCTAAATTGCTTTAAAATGCCGAGGAAATTCTTAGTAGCCACTTCTAGAATGATGGGGATATTCTGATTTCCACTGTCGAATGTCTTTGTGGAACTTGGGTCAAATATTGAATAGTACTTTGTTGGAAAATGTTGAGAAAATGCTATTCATATGATATAGGAAATAATATTTTCTGAATATTGGTAAACCTATTACAAGGATACAAGTCATTTGGGTAAGTAGTAACTTTGGGTTCTGATTTTTATCTTTGTATTATTTTAAAATTTTGCTTCCAAGTTTGTTGAAGTTTAATATTAGGTAAGTATTCCTTCTACTATTTTCTTAATTGTCAATCCTTTTCTCTATTTATGATTAGGAACATCAAATGCATTGAACTTTGTTTTACTTTGATGGGTGGTAAATTTCCTTTCTGAAGTTCAAATATTTCATTTTGGTAGGTTCTGGAAGTCCAGGAAAATAGTAGCAAATTCAAGGCACTGGCACTACCCAAGTCTTTTTTATTTTATTTTTTGGATGCTATATTGGAAAATGTAATGCCACTCTCAGTCTTCAAGAATTTCTTGATATACCTAATCTTTTATGTGCCTTCCCCTGCATCTTGGTTTGTGGCATTGTAATAAAGACATTCACAAGGTAGTGGGTGTTGACATGGGTATGAGGTTTCGTTTAAACATTGACACCGTGACCTTTGGAAATCTTAAATGCGCTCTAGCTACGACAAAGAGATAAATGTTGTTGTCTCATATGTATATAGGCCACCAGCTGGTAGTGAAAAGAAATAAGATAAGTCCTTACTCTGCGACCACACCGAGTAATGGCCTTTTTAGCTTTTATGTGCTTCTTGATAACTATTTCCTTGCAGTTTTTGTGTGCTTCTTGATAACTATTTCCTTCTTGTTACGTCTTTCTGTTTACTTTTTGACATACATATAATTGGTTATCACACTAATGAACCATTGTGCTCTCAAAATTAGGGATGGCAACATTGCGGGTTTGGAGTGGGTTTGCCTAAATCTGTCCCCGCCCTGTTGGAGAATTGAAAAGTCCATCCCCATCCCCTTTCCCGGGACGGGTTGGATTCTCATGGTCCATCCCCGCCCTGCTGGGGAATCTCTTTGCCCGTGCCCGCCCTGTTAGCAATTTTGTTTTTCCCCTTTTTAACTGCTGGGAAGCCTGGGAATCCAAACAAGAAAAATAGATATCAAACTCACAACAAAAACCTCATAACAATTACTGAAAAGTGAATCAAATTGATGTTGGAGCTTGACAACCTCAATCAATGGAAGCAAGGACACACAAACATACAAATATAAGGGTAAAGAAATTTTTTATATATTTTTTTTCACAGGGTAGAGAATTGAGGAAGAGATTACCTAAGTTACAGAGATTGATTTAGGGCTTTCTCCAACGAAGATAGATTGTTTTCACTGACCTTCAAGCCTAGAATAATTCGAAAGGGAATGCACTGAACAGGCTTCACCCAACTAAAAAATAATGGGACCGGGTCTGTGAACTGTAATACTTAGATGAAAACCCATTGGTCACTCATCAGAACATGAGAAATAGATAAGATGAGGGCTCTTAATGATTGTTATAATGACAGCAACTGTAATCGATCGTGGAATGATGATGACAGCAACGACAATACGGCATCTGCGTCGGCGGTGGTGTTTAGTTGGTGAGGCTTTTGGTGAGAGCGTTAGATGCACTGACTGTGTTGTGTTTGGATGTGAGAGAGGCAGCGATGCTCTAGCCTTTAGGAATTAGGGTTATAAGTTATAATATATATATAAAATTTTAATGTAGTATACATAAGGCGGGGCGGATAATCCATACCGGCCCCAACGGTATAAAAATGTTTCCCATATCCGCCATTAATGGGGCGGAGCCTTGGCGGGACGGTAAAAATTGCCATCCCTACTCAAAATCTTTGAACTTAGGCTTCTACACGTGAGTTTCTGGAACCTATATGTGCTTTTCGATTAATATTTCCTGATTCAGAACAGGAACTAATTAAACTTGTGCAATACCTAGTTACCAAATATGATCTATTTTTCATCATTTTTTTATTAGTAAGTAAGTCTAGCATGTGCTGTTTTCTTTTGTTTAGCGTAATTTGAAAGTACAACCACATTTTGCTTATAGAATGTGTTGGTAATTTATTTGTTTGGGCACTTTGAAGCCACTCAACAATATATCAACAAATGGATTTGTTCGTCAGATCTTTTGGGAATGCTTCGTAAGTTCGATACACCTGCTAGTACACCGTCATTATTTATTTATTGTTATTATTATTATTTACCTTGGCAAGAAACTCACACGCCCACTTTGCCTCTATGAGGACTTGAACTCTCGCCCTTTCAATTTGGAAGGCGAGGAAGTGCCACTAGATTACAACCCTTGGTATTATAATTATTTAAAAATTTTGGAACTTCAATTTCTTGCTCAAGTGATTACAAAATGTAGTATTTAATAACTGATCAATTTCTTTATTATTATTATTATTATTTTGGTGGTACATGTTTTCATGCTTCTACCAATTATTTTGGTGCATGACATATATGAGCAGGTTTATCAAAGGGTTTTTTATATTCAACATATACGTATAAGTATATATAACTGGTTTGATTGTTTGCAACGTTGAAGGCACCACTAAGGACTTTTATGAATAAAGTTGAAGGTACCTATAAGGTTAAGAGAAAAGGCAAAAACAACTTAGGTTGAACTGGTGAGGAAGTCATGATTCTGGTATTTAACCTTGAGTTGAGGTGAATAAGTATGATTCTTTAACTTATGCAAGTCAGCAAGTGGTCAGATGTGTTGTAAATAATGAAATAGAAGTGGAGAGAAATGAAACAATTAGAACACACAACTATTACGTGGTTCAGCCACTAGGGCCTGCCTACATCCACGGCAGAAAGAGCTCAAAGGGCTACATCGCTTTTATAATATTCTCTCTTTTCATACACAATACAATGGTGGAGGCTCCTCTATATAGGAGAAATGATGAAAATGGAAAGAGATTGAAAATAGGAAACAAGGAGGATTTTTCTCCACTGATCCCTCTAGTAATAGTGAATCTTCAATAATAGGAAACAACATCAATTTCCGGAGGATTTTCCTCCACTGATGCCTCCATTAAATCTTCAATAAGATGAATATGATCCCCAGGTCTCACATGAATGCTTCAATGAGTTCTTGTAAAGCCAGGTGGTTAACTACTTTGATAATGGTCTAGGCTGAAGGTTGTTGGGTCTAATAGAATTTTTTTTATTTAGGTTACTGCCTAAGCTGGACAGCCAGTGTGAAAGCGCAATAAAGGTTGCATAGATCTCCTTTTAGCTAAGAATTTGTTTAGATATCATTCACCAGACCCGGGAGTAAACAATTATGAGTAGTTGATTAATACACAACTACACAAGTGCATCTCTTTGTTGAAAGGTTGAGTGATCTGTAAGAACCTTTTTTTTATTTTTTTTATTTTTCTATTTTTACCTGAGGATAAATTTGTTAAATGATTTGTAAGAGTCTTTATTTTTTTTCCTTTTCCATGGATAAATTTTAACATGTTAGATGCCTTGAGCAGGCTTAGGCAAATGCCGCAAATCTAGTGGGTGAGATTCCATCATATATAAGCCAGTATTCTAGTATCAATAAGGGGGCTTGTACTACTAAAGTTTTGTTTATTAAACATAAATATAAAAAACTTAACTTGGCTTTCCTCAAATTTATTCATCACTAAATTAGTTTTGGTCAGGCTTTACCAAGAATATCTAGATTTTTTTATGTTGAAAATAATTTGTCATGTTCTAGTATTTAGCATAATAGAATTTGAATGTGCTTTTCAATACATATCCATTTTCGTGCAGTGATTATTTGGACTGATGTGGCCCTGATGGATGAAGCGTTACCTGAGGCTGCTCTCCCTGAATTCTGATTCCGGTGATGCGAACTTGGTAATTTAATTCGCTTCTTCATATTATGTTTCTTGATGAAGCAAGTATGCCATCGGGACTTGAAGTTGGAAAATATGTTGTTGAATGGCAGCCCCTGCTCCTCGCTTGAAGATACGTGATTTTGGGAGGCATTTCCTGTTTTTCTTTTCCTTGTATGTGCTTAAATATTTTTTGGAATCGCATCTTTATAAAATTTATGATAAGCTATAATAATTAGCTCTTCCTTAACTATTCCAGCTTTAATTTTTAGCTTTGAAGAGGTAATAAATCAAGTGATTCAAAATGAAATTACGCCGACCTTTTTTTTGTCTTTGTATTTGCAGGTTGTGACTTGGGCATAAGTTAACTGATTTAAAATGCATAAAGAGGGTCTTAAAGCTTTGTTTCTTGGAATTGATCTGCTCGTTAGGATTTGAAACTAAGCATTTATTAGATTCCATTGTTGGATGGTTTGTTGATCTGGATAATTTTATTTTGGTAGCTGACTTTTTATAATATCCTTCAAAATTTCTGCATATTTACTGTTGTATGGAGTTGCATGTCCTAGGTGGGCCTTTTAATCACATTATTGATATGTTTTATATACCAATTCATTGTAGTTACTGATTTTGAGTTGGATTTCTACCTTACATACATTTATTACCTCGTGAAGGGAGTTTGAGCCAGCACTTGAAGATGTCTGTCAACCGTGCTAAGGCTGGAGGTGTTTAGCAAGGAGAAATGCTGATCATTCTAAATCGACGAGGAAAGTCTTGGCATCCAGTACTTGCAAGAGTGCAATTCTGCAGCCATGATGGGTCATGGTCTAGTGCAAAGGAGTGCTGCTTTCAGAACTACTTCGCGACACAGAGATATGTTGGGCTTTCCTTAAGAGTTTCAACAGTTAACCGAGGGTGTATCTCAGGTGAACATTGCAGCCTGGTTATCAAGATATATTGGAGTGAGCATCTGAGGATGAATGACTTCCAAGTTTATTTCTCCTCGCACTGAGGCTGAGATCCTGAGATAGTAAAAACAATTACCCTAAGCCTCTTTGCTCTTGCTGTACGTTAGATTTAACATGTTTTCGAGGACAGAGAGAAGTTGGTTGATCTTGCTATGATGTTATGACATTGCCCACCTTTCTTGCAGATGTTTATATACGAGCATTGTTCGAGGTATCTCTTGTGCTGAGGTCTTTATCTGTAGGGCGGAGACACCATTATCTGGAGAGGTAATTATGCACGATTACAAGGAAAAATGCCATTGTCTTGGATACCTACTCGCACATATCTACTCTTTATGCCTTTGTATGTCTTAGAATTCACTGCCCAGAAATTTTTTTCCCAGTAATAATAATTATTATTTTTGGGTAATTCACTGTCCAGATTTAATGACCCAAAAATAATGGAAAACTTTTATGTTTTTCTTTCAATTCAGAAGGTGATACTAAGAAATTAGAACTTTTACCTATTCTATAAGGACACTTTACATTGAATAATTTTGAGGAGGGTGAAATTGAGATTTTCTTTTTCCTTATCGAAAAAGAAATTAACGTATTTTATGTACAATCATTTACCGACCTGTGTGGATGGGCGCTTTGCACAATGTCTCGGGGATCAGTCGGGACAAAGTCCTGAATATCCCGATTCTGAAAAAGGAAAACAAAAAAAGTAGCACAAGCCAATTAAACTCCATTAATGTCGTTTGCTTCTTAAATAACTAAAGACCTAGTAGTCTTATGAGCTCGAGCACTGTCTTTAGTTTTAACCTTATTTACGTACAAGTCAAACTTACCAAGACTACGTATGACCTATTTTATGTCGGCTGTGAAAAACAATTAGTGACAGATTTAATCTTTGTACAATGAATCATCAATGAGAAAGACTAGCGATAGATTTAAACTTTGTATTTTGTACAATGACTAATGACTATCAATTGAAATTTGAACTCACTTATCTTATGCTTCTTAGCAAATGTATAGATTAAGGTTCTTTTATGTAAATTTTTACAATCAAATTGTTTGTTGTGTTCAAGTTCAAATTTACTTGTACCATTGATATAATTAATCCATTTTGTTTATTGTGTTCAAGTTCAAATTTACTTGTGTCACTATTAATTTGATGTTTATAAGTTGTTTGTACAACTATGTAATTATTTGTCTCTATCTTCTTATTCTTAAACCCTTGTCTTAATTCTGATTATGAGTCCTCAATATTCTTTAACATTATATTATTAAGATGTTATAAATAAAATGTACAAATTCTCCAAAATGATTTTTATTATGTATAGTGAGATGAGATGGTAGTAGAGGGATTCCTCAATTTATAGGCCATTTTTTTTTTCGATAATAACCGAGTGTTCGAGGATTTTGCCCCGATTAATTCACGGGACCCGTGCAAAGCAGTTTCTTCACACGAATCGGATAACGCTCAGATTATGTCCGCTGGCGTGGCCCCTAAGGAATTGTTTGTACCTAGGAGAAATCGATCATGAGACATGATATTTCATGAGGCACCAAGGCCCAAGTCTATTTCACCTTGGCCAACCTCTTAGGTTTTTTATACAACATTCTTGCCCTGAAAGAAAGAAATAATAAAAATAAATGATAGGACATGAGTCCCAATCCGTTATCTATTACTTGTATGTCACTCTAAGGATTGAGAAAGATATGCCTAACTTTTCACACTATTTTGTATAAGGTAGTTGCACTCAGAATTCAAACTAGCATTCTTTGCTTGTCAATCCAAGACTCTTCTCTAATTTAGAGATGAGTTGAGATTGAGTTCGAGCCCTATTAGAGGGTAAATATTATCTGAATAGGGTAATATTATCTGAATATTATCTGAATATGCACGTTTACTTGATTTTTTTTTTAAATAAAAAAAAAAAAAAAAGTTCCACGAATTTACCACACCAAGCAAAGGGCTTCTTAATCAAAAGTTGTTGATGCATATTATACACTTTCTTCACAAAATATTTACTAACATCAAAAAAAAAAATGTAATTATAAATAAAAAAAAGACTGCTGCAGGTGTTTGGGAGAATCTGACATCACACATCTTGCAGCTGATGTCATTGCTTTTCAAATCAAAAGTTGTTGAGGCATACCATTTCTTCATAAAATATTTCAATTTATATCATATAGACCTTTTAATGTCAAACTTTTTCTGGTTGATTGGTGGTATTATAGTTAAAATATACACAGGTTGGTGATGGAGCAAAGAATCTCGGAACATGGGATGAGAGTTGTAGTAGGAGAGTCATATTCCATCCATGTCTATATATACTCATTTCTTTACCAAAACTTTGGTAAGCAACGGAAATTAAGAATGCTTCACACACGCACACACACAAACACATAGTTTGAGCTGGTGAGTTACCACACTAGACTCCAAGAGGATGGGACGCAGCCCATGTTGTGACAAGGCTAGAGTGAAGAAGGGTCCATGGACTGAAGCTGAAGACTTGAGGCTTGTTTCATTCATTCATAAGTATGGACATGTTAATTGGCGTGCTCTTCCTAAACAAGCAGGTCTCTCTCTCTCTCTCTCTATATATATATATATCTCTCTCTCACACACACACACAAAATGGTGTAGTAACTATAAAATTATATTGCTATAGAAGTGGAAATCTCTTATGTGTTACTTGTGAACCATTTTTGACAATTTTGTGTATTTGGTTACATAAAAGACCTTTACATTAATGGTATCAAATGCATTTTTAAACGCGCGCACACGCCCACAACAGAATGAATTAGAAAGAAAGTAATTGCATCCATAATATTGCATTATTGCCTATATCCTTACTATATGCTTGAGTTTGTAAAAATTAGTGAATGAATCTCTGTGAGGAAATGAACCATTTTAACTTGTATATCCAGTGATATGATTGAATATAGTCATATTTAACTCGAGCTATAAATATATACTCCCTTGGAAAATGATTAATATTGTGTTTAAAGCATTTCATGATGATGTATCTGTTCGCATCTCAGGTTTGCTGCGATGTGGGAAGAGCTGCCGGTTGAGATGGATTAACTACCTTCGTCCAGATGTCAAGCGCGGAAATTTCACCCAAGAGGAAGAGGAAGCCATCATCAAACTGCATGAGTTGCTCGGAAACAAGTATGAATCCCTACAGAAAACTCAAGGATCTGTTTGGTTTAGTTTTCAGAAAACAATTTTCAACAAATCAGAAAACAGAAAAGTGTTTTGTAGTTTCTTTGAAAACAAACCTTTTTTTTTTTTTTTTTTTCAAACTAAGTTTTCATCTACCAAACAGGTTTTTTTCACGAATTTCTGATTTTCAGTTGTCAAAAAACAGAAAACTATACAGAGAAAGTGAACCAAACATGGAGGTGTTTTTTTGTTTCTCTTCTTCTAATGAATTGTGATTTTAAGTATATGAGTGCATGGTTTATTAATTATGTGACACAACATTAATGTAGGTGGTCAAAAATTGCTTCTCACCTACCAGGTAGAACTGATAATGAAATAAAGAATGTTTGGCACACACATTTGAAGAAGCGATTGACAGCGAAAGATCACAACAGCTGTAGCGTTGAGCCACAAGAATCCATGAACCCTCAAGATAGTGTTCCCAACAACTTTTCTGAATCATTTCCATGCACCGAAAACGAACAAGTTTCAAACCAAACAAGCCCTCGGGACGAAACCCTAGAAGTACCATCAAGCTCCAATTCTTCTACTTCAGTGTTTGGCTGTGAAAGTGGTAGTGACAAGAGTGTAGTTGAAGAAGAGAACTTGAACACTCAAAATGTGTGTGAGGAGATAATTGAAATCCCATTTGAGCCTAACTTGGACTTGTGGGACATGTTGGATGTTGACCCCATTGTTGAAACTGAGGTCCCAACAATCTCTCAAGAAGAAGACAAAAGGGAAGATGAAAGTTGGTGGTGGTTTGCGTACTTAGAAAATGAGCTTGGACTTGAGGCAACAATGGATGGAAATATTCAGGAAAATTTAACAATGGAGGGTGCAGTGGTTGATCAACCGCCAATATTACCCAATTTTGTGAATGAAGAGTTACTGTCAGAGTCAAAAATTGACAAAGTGGGGACTTGTTTTCAAATATGGCCATCTTCACCTCAGACTTTAGGATTATAATTTTTAAAATATATATTTAGATAATCAAAATTTTTGTTGGAATTGATCAATCAATCCAACTCATATAAAGTGAAAATTTACTATGTCTTTATTATTATATGTGTTATTTTACAATTTTTTTTTCTCCGTCAAGGGTTAGTATTTTTTAATTATTAGTTGCAACACGTTGACGTCTTTTGATTACCTACCAAAAATAAAAAATAAAAATGCCTTGGATTGGAAAAACTTGTAATTGTTACTTTTCTATGTGAGATTTTTTATTTTATTTTATTTTATTTTGAGTAGATAGTGAAAAAGAGAATCGAATATAAACATAAAATTCAAAAGATAAACATAAAATTCATAAGATAAGAGTTCTAAAGATATGACTGTTTACCACTTGGACAACGCTACCAGAACGATGGATTGTAAAACATTGGATAGTTGATGGAAATGTCAATGCAATAAGTTCTGTCTCAACAATAATATATTTCCTTTTAGTTTGTAATGATTATTAGTCCACACGGGAATCGAATCAAGTCAAATTTGAATCTTGGAATGTATACAGATTGGATTTGGACTTTAACATATATTTTATTGTATACAAACTGAACTTGGGCTTATGAGTTTGCCAACCATGAAATAGATAAATAGAGGATGTCATTTTCTGACTGTGATTTCAATTTTGTGTCAACCAAAACTTATACATACCTTCCCCAAGTTGCCAACAAAAAACAATTAGATATAGCTTGAGATATGGATTGATTCTCTGTGTGCGCGCGCATGTTTTTTTTAATAAAATATAATCTAATACAGTATAAGTTGTGAAGGGTTAAATTTATTCAATAATAATTAATCTGTTGTCACAAGAGGGCCTCGTCTTATGTTGAATCCAAATAAAAAAATAATTTGATATATGAGTTGGATAATAGCACTAGTTTAAAATTTTGAATCGAATCACAAAATACCTGGCCAGGTCACACCTATTCAAATTAACCATTAAAATATTTTGTTAATGACAAATTTTCCATTATCACTTCAATAACTACCCAGGATTACTTAATCCACACGCCCTTCACGTACTGTATGCAAAGTACTACGGGAATTTTATTGGTAAGTTTTAGGTGAAGTTGACATAGATAACTATTTGTGGCATATTATTACATGTTTACCATGTTTTAGTTGCCATCTATAATGTACCTTCGCCTTCCCCACCTACATTTTCATCTCGAATTACTTTGTGATTTAGTGGATGTTTTTTTTAATTTTCAATAAATTGGTTCAATGAATTTAACCCTGGCTACCTAATACCTCTCTTATTCATGGTGGTTGACTAATCTCTAATCACTTCGAATTATTGTTTTGGTATGTATTAAATTAGAATATTTTTTTCTTGTATTGCTAGTGTAACTTTGTGTGGCCCATATGAAGCAATAAGTTTGGATTGAAATCCTATTATTTGTTAAAAACATTATTTTATATATTGCAAAAGCCTCCTCGTATAGATTAGTGTCCAAAAAGAAATAAAAAATGTGTTGATAGTTGACACAGATCATTCATCTATCTTTTAATATTAGGTTTTGTGAATGTACTTTCTTATATGATTTGATATACAAATTGGTAACTAATGAAATGTTTTGTGAGTTGTGACATTGTCGGCACCATAGGTTGGTAGCCAAGTGGCAACCAATTGATCAATGACATGGACGAATGGGTGAGCGACAAATGGACAGAATTATGGCACTAAAATAGCCTCATTTGTGTAAGAGTGGTACTTTCTTACCTTCCAAAATAAAAGATTGAAAGTTCAAGTACTGATAGGGACAAAGTGAATGTATTAGTTTCTTCCCTCGATAAGAAAAAAATAAAAGCTTTTGTGATGCTCGTCTTCCTTGAAATAGACTATGAATGACAATATTAAAATTACTATACTAGAGTAACAAGTATTTACTAATAAGATTGATTGATTATTACCATATTTGTCTTTTGGCTTTCTTTGAAGTCTTTCCTTTATAATCACATTCTTGTAAAATAAGTCTTTGCTATTTGTTGTTTACAACTCTTTTCTACCTCATAGATATGGGTATTTGTAAACACGATTAAGAGAGTTAATAATAAAAAGTGATATAGCCCGTAAGATTTTGTGTGTCGTGAATGTAAGTCCTAGTGGTTGAACCACGTTATTCGTGTTTTGTTATATCTTATTTCTCTCTTCAACTTTTTATATATTATAATATGGTATTAGAGCAAGTTTATTGTACTTTACTCTAGATCATCCTTCCACTCATTTCATCTTATTGATTTTCTCTCCATTATCAAAGTGTTAGGCAAAATTTGTTGATTTTTTGTCATTGTTTTGCACGTTGCATCATTTTGTGCATTTCTTCTTTATGTCAACTGAATATTGACATCTTCAAAGGAGTGACCATATCATTAGGGGGAGCCTCTACACCAAATATCATAATATATTTTCATCTTATTATCACTGCAGAGTTATTTTTTGTTTGCTTAAATGCATATTGTTGGCTATATGTCAAATTTATGATGAAGTGCTCAGAATCATGTTCTTCAATCTTGGAGACTCTATGTTCATTTGTGTATGTCTTCACCAAATCAAGCAATGTCATTTTCAAACACGTTCCCTTTAGGGAAAGTGTTAAAGTTACTATACTTGAGTAACAAGTTTTTCTTAATAGGACGATTGATTTTTACCATATTTGTTTTTTTAACTTTCTCTGAAATTTTTCCTAATCATATTATTGTAAAGTAAGAATACTTGTAAAGCAAGTATTTGCTATTAGTTGTTTACAACTCTTTTCTAACTCACTTATAAATAGAGGTGGGTATTTGTAAACATGATTAAGAGAGTTCATAATAAAAAGTGATGTACCCCTTTAGGCTTTGTGTGTTGTGAATGTAAGCCCTAAGCTCTAGTAGTTGAATCACGTTATTTTCGTGTTTTGTCATAATTTTTGTTGTTTTATTATCTGAGAAAGGAGTTGATTATAAAGCTAGAAAGGCAAACTGGTCTAAAAACACACCTTTAATGATAAGATGAAAACAAAGTCATTCCATTAATTGTAATGCATATTAAACTAATAGGCAACATGTTAAATCAAAATTTCATTGATTCAATAAGGGTGACTCACAATGCTTTCGTAACCCAGCGGTTGAGTTGTTTCTCATTGTGTTAGAGAGTTCAGTTTTGAACTTTTATACCCGTTAATTTCTAATCTAACATTTTTGCTTTGAGAAAAATAAATAAATTTAATTTTTATGTGTTGGACTCAGCAGAGGACTCTTCACCATCTTCTCCGCGGAGCTTGCGTACTGCAGACATTATTATACTTCTAGATTTTCTCACTCTCTGGACCTGCATTATCAACAATACAATAACCTATATTAAGTTTTTTTTTTTTTTTTTTTTTTTTTTTTTTTTTTTTTTTTAAAACCGAAAAAAAAAAAAATTTCACCATATGAATTTTAGCAGTATAGGAAATATTAGTAGACTATCATATCTTACTCGTTTTTTGTTCCCACTCTTCTCCATTTTCACAGAATTCAAGCTGTCTGCTGGTCTTTGGTTGACATAGTCCTTCAATTGTTGGTCATTCATGTCTTCAATCATGTTAGTCTGCCATTTATATGAAAAAGTAAATGGTCAAATACCATAAATTGTGTTTCACAACTACAAATAAAAATCCGTATCGGTGGTCCGGTGGTTAAGGGGGTCTCAAAAACGAGTCCGTAAACTCAGAGTCTCAAATTTTATGAGTTTGACTCTGTTTCACAAGACGCAACCATAAGTACAAAGGGTAAGTAGTTGAAAGCCATGTTTCGTTTCCTTAAAAAAAAAAAAAAAAAAAAAAAAAAATAATAATAATGAAAAGAAAAGAAAACAAACTATATATAAAAGTCAAAACAAGGAAAGCTACTTGTTATTGTGAAAGAGATTAAATTGAAAAGAAGTTACATCAGTTTCAGAGAAGTAAAAGAAGTTGGATCTTTCATGCTTAATTATACAATTTAGTTTGTATGACTGTCTACCAAAAAAAAATTTCACCCAAAAATAGTTTTTAGTGCTAAAAAAAATTTGCAAGAACTCAGATCATGTTTTCTCATTAAGAGTTAAAAAAATCAAGAAATAAGCTCAAAAAATCTATTTGGTCTGCTATCATCATAATTTTTCAAGAGTTTTTGGTCCAAGTCATAATGCAAAGCGGGAGCAGGACAAGACAATATGGGAGCCGAAGCGCGAAAGCAGCAAAATTTAAATGTCACGGAGCGGGAATGGGAGCGGGAGTGTGAAATCAACAAAATCTAAATGACATCGAGTGAGAGCATGCACGCTCGGAAAGTAAGAGAGGCACTCATTGAGAAGAATTATTTGACTTGGTTCTCGGTACTCATTTTTGTACGGCTTATAGAAAATAATGGCGATACATGCGTTAGAATTTATGTTATATCTTCTTTTTGTATATGATTTGGAAATGTAGAAACTAAAAATGCAACAGATAGATTATAATATTTACCCATTTCATAAGTTCTTCTACTTCCTTTTCTAAAGCTTGCCCTTCCTCATCTGCAAGTTCCTTCTTGTCTTGCCATGTAAAAACCTCACAAGTCTCCATGTTTGGCTTCATCTTCTTCTCTTCTTTCTGAGTAGACATAATTAATCTCCTACCTTGCAGAAACAATATTAATGATTGTCAATCTAAGTAAAGAAAATGCAGAGAGAGTTTAGAAATGGACCGTTAGAATTAATAATGTAGAGAAGATTCATCAACTTAATATACAAGAATAGTCAATGTAACGGCTGCATGGAGAGAGAGAGATAGAGAGGGAGAGGGAGAGGGAGAGGGAGAAAGAGATGTTACGTTACTTGGCGAAAACATGGAAGAAATGAAGAAAAACATAGGGAATAGTTATAGATAGCTTTTGGCTTTTAGGGTTAGTTTATTACATGTGAATGAAAAAGTTTCATATGCTTCTCAAGCTAATGAACTGAAAAGGTATCATCAACAACCTTTCTTTTTCTTTTTTTTCAAAAAAGTTATCATGGTATTATAAAGCCTGCTGAAAGGATGATAATCATTCGTTAACAAGGAGAAAAAAGAGAGAAAATCTGGATAGTCATGTTGGGTGCAGGTCTACCCAACCGTTTAGAATCTAACTCAGATTTGACATTTTCATTATA